TTTTCTTGGAATTCATTACATCGTTAAGATCCTAATTTTTATTTTTTTTAATATGAATTGTATATAATATAAAGTACAAATATATATACTTGATCCTTACTTTAATTATCTTCAATGAATATTCGCGCCACTATATTTGCAGGGTTATAATCAAGATTTCCTGAGCTCAATCGTTTAGTTGCAGTATCCAATACACTGCTTTGGTTACCAATAAATGAATTATTGCTTCCAATAAAAGCTGGATTTGAAATATCAACAATTTTCTCAATTAATAATTTGTTATTATTGATTTCTTCTAGCCATTTATTGTGAGGCTCAGAAATAGGATTAAATGAATCAGAAAAATCTTCATCAAATTTTGAATAGTAAATTCTAACTGACTAGAGTTCACGGTTGATCCATTTACACTATCTCTTAAATCATACTCAGATAATTCTTTTCCATAAAAGGATAGTTCTTCTTTAATATTCGTATAACAGAAGGTTCAAATTTTTGCAATTGCTTCTAATTGAAATATATTTAACCTTGTTCTGCGATCTCCAAATAACCATTTAAGAGTTGAAAAATTTCTTTCACATACAGCTTGTGATGGTGGGATAGAAAAGATCTTGATAGCAAGTTCTGTTAATGGCTCTTTTTGAGCATCCATACTAAGCTACCACATTAATGGAGATTCCTTTTCTTTTTTAAATGGTTGAACATAAGGTTTTTCTTTATGTTTATAAGCCCGAAGCTCAGTTAGCAAATCTTTACATGATGCTTCATCATATCCCAAGTCTCGCCACATACTGGCTGCAGTTTTACAAATTTCATAAAATTGACCTTTATTTAATCCAATACCTCGATATAATGGGTGTAAATAATATGCAAGTTGATATAGTGGTGTTGCAAATTCTTTAAAGCATGAGTTATAAATTTTTATAGCCTTAGACTTAAATAAATTTGAATTTGGAAGACAATTAATAGCTGCAGAAATTTTAATTAGCGCAACATAACAATCAGCAATAGTTGCATGCTGATTTTCTAATTAATTAATCATGTCTTTAACAGGTTTCATTATTGCTGATATGTAACGACAATTATTAAAAAAATCTGGATTTTGAATTAAATCAAATACTATCTTGTTTGAAATTGTAATTGCATGATAATTGATAAGCCAATCAAAGACTGGT